TTAATTCATTTGAAAATCTATATAGGTACATTATTTTTTGCATTTTAAATAAAAATCTTAATATTAAACTTCAAAAAAGTAGACGAAAACCCAGCCAAATATTCCTCTAATATATCCACCTACCTAAAAATCTTACTAAAATGTCTGTTTTCAAAGGTAAATTTTTAGCGGATGTGGAAACATGTGGATGACTTTGATGGCTGCAATTATTCTAGATACCCTAAGGTTTAATAAAATGTGTTGCGGATGCCGTTGCGAGGTGTTGCCGATATTTAAAAACACCATTGTTTGTTTAAGAAAACGAGAAAAATTAAGCATTTCTAGGTAGTTAATTATAGTACTCGATATAAATAAATAAAGTTTATAACACAAATGAAATATTGCCTAAAATATTGTACATACCTTAATTGACGACATCCATATTAATTTCTTTCACCAAAATCTCTTTTAACATAAGAAAAAACACGGCAAAAATTTGTTTTTTTGTGGAGTGTCGCGAACGAAGATGTACGATGTAAAAGAGCGCTAGGTTCTAGCTGCTGGTACATCGAACCGGGATGGCCAATTCAAGTTTCAACTACACCAAAAGATAGCCATGTTATCTAACTTCTTTGAGACAAAATCTTAGATCTGGCAATAAAAATTAACAAAATTGATTTTTGGCCACGTTTTAGGTCCAAATAACTCTCTGTGCAATGTGGGCGACCATTTACCTATGAAAGGAATTCAAAGAAGATGTGCACATTGCATCACTACAAAAAAATTAGCAAAGGTCTAACATCCAATATAATAAATGTAATGTAGCTTTGTGCCTCGGGTATTTTGTTCCTTTTCATTCTACGTAAACAGATCAAAACTCAGTTCTGAGAAAATTCTAAAAATGTCTTGTAATTCCCTTGAGACACATGTATTCCTATGTATTTTTAGCTGCTGAATCCGACGAATTCACGATTGGTTTTTGAGATAAGTCAAACCGCATTTAGGTTATCTCAAAAACCAATCGGATTCAGCGGCTAAAAACACAGGGATCTCGCCAAAAGTATTAACATTTCTTTTTATGGTTATGTTATGATTTTATGTACGATAGATCTTATGATTTTTATTTTATTTATAAGGATTATATTTTTACTGAATGTGATTTTTATATTGGTCAGAATTTATTTTTTGTTTTATTTTTATTTTAGTTTTCAATAAAAATTCAGTATATAATTATTAGTTTTATTGATCAGCATTTTTTATATCCCAATCTTCAAAAATCAAAGTGGTAGGTACTACCTTGTACCAAGTACATCTATAATTTTTTTTATAAATGAAGTACATTGGTAAACATAGGTACCACTAGGCTTTTTGTCCCGAAAATTCTCGAGAAATCCTATAATTTTTAAAGGTCTCGCTCTCGGGAAATCGGCTAATAAAATCTCGAGAATCGAGATTTGGGACATCAAGATAAGGGCATACGGCGCATGCCATGCGCATTAGTTCATAGAATATAGATTTAGTTTATAAATGGTGTGAAAGTGTGAATTGTTGATATGTATTATTATTACACCTGTAATGTACATTTATGCGAAAGTTTCGCAGCGAACTTGGCAATTAGGCATTTTAGGTTATGTATGTACCTGTTAAAGTATAATTAACAACAGGTAGTGGACGCACCCTAATGAAAAAAAAACAATAGAAATTATACATACCATATTATTAATAATTATATACCATATTATTAATAATATATATAAGTATATGTTTACTGTGTTAAAAATCTTTATAGTATTACAATCCAGCCAAGAATACTACAAAGACTAATATAAAAAAGAGTTTCAAGTATTTTAACCGACTGGAACTAAAAACCCCGAAATATTATACAAGGCTCTGCTGACAATTAAGCCTAGAGAGTGAGCGTGTGTTTTCAGGAGGAGGAAATAGACAAGATGGCGCCACCGCCGGATGATTCTGGGGCGGGTGGTAGTCAAAAAATTACGAAAAAGTGTGATTTTTGTGGTAATAATTTTCGAAATTATATCATATGTAAATCCTGCGGTTTTGTTATTCATAGCAAGTGTTTTGATCTGGTTAGCAAACTTTTTAATGTTAGTGAAACGTGGTGCAAAAAGTGAAATCAGGAAGAAAGTGCATCTAACGCACCAAGTCAAGCAAGTGATAAATGAAAATTCAGCAGAGACAGAGTCCTTTAATCGTGAATTATTATTGTACAAAAAGTTAGTTTGTGAACTAGAAAAGGTAAATAAATTTACAGCGAGAAAACAAAAACAAAGGTAAATAACAATCAGCTGGCCTGTTTATTAAATCAAATACAGAGGTGCAATCGTCCGATTTTATGAAAGAACTGCGTAACAAAATTAACCCGTTAGATATTCAAATAGGTAATACTAAAGTGGCGAAAAGCGGCATAATAGTTACATGCGATGGCGAAAATTCCAAGGAGAAATTAAAGAAAAGCCTAGAGGATTGTTTTGGCAAACAATTAACTGTATCCGATGCTAATAAAATAAAGCCACGCATTTTAATACGTTCTGTGGATAATGAAATGGCTCAACTTCAGGACGATGTGTTTCTAAACGATTTGTGCACTAACAATAATATACGAGGGGACTTAAAAATTATCAAGCGTATCAAAGGAAGATTTAATTATAACATTATAGTGAAACCTGATATTGCTACTAGAAAAAACATTATTGCGAATGGTTTTGTTTACATTGGTTGGCAAAAATGTTTTTGCGAAGATAATATAAATGTTATAAGATGTTTTAAATGTTCTACGCTAGGGCACATTGCGAAAAATTGTTTAAATGATAGCTATTGTTGTCCAATTTGTGCTAAAAATCATGAATTTAAAGACTGTCAAAAAACTGTCAAAAATGTGTTAACTATAATAAGAAAAATAAAACCGAGATACCTTGTAATCATGAATCTAGGTATAAAAACTGCCCAGTTTTAAAATATCAGACTAATATACTTAAATCAAAAATTGTTTATGAATAATACAAACAAAATATTTAATTTAAAATGTTGTCATTTAAGGTCTTTAATTAAGCATTTTACTGAAGTAAGGCGTTTTGTGACAAAGTTTGACTTCATGGGCATCACTCAATCACGTTTATCAAATAATATCGACTCAAAGTATGTATCTATCAGTAATTATACACTTTTCCGTCGCGATAGGTTTAGAAACGGAGGAGGAGTTGCGTTTTATGTTAAAAATAAGTATTTGTGCAAACAAATTGAATTGGATTTAACTGAGGAAGATAAAAAAATTAAATGTTTATGGATAAGTGTGAAAATAGGTGAAGACAATTTTGCTGTTGGTACAATTTATTGTCCTGAGGAAGACGCGTGTCTCCTTATTTTATTATTTTGAAAATGTTTTTCTTGTCCATTACAGTAATGTTATTCTTTTTGGTGATTTTAATATTGACTTTTCAGTTCATAATGACTCAGTAAATAAACGTTTAAACTCACTAGGTTTGTACAAGCTTATACCGTACCTTCATTTGCTAGCTAACCATAGGGAAAATACATTGTAACTGGACCAGATAAGTCGCAGTCAACACAAAGCGAGAACCTTTTCATAAATGATTTGGATGCGTCGTCGAGACATGCGTACTAAAACAAATTTTACACCGCACAAAATAAAAAACAAAAATAAAGCATCGATGTATGAAGCAAGGTCAACTGTTACGGCGCATGCTAGCCTACTCGTCCACGCGTCCAAATCATTTCTACAACGTTTTTCGCTTTGTGCTGACTAAGACTTATCTGGTACAGTTACAATGTATTTTCCCTATGGTTAGCTTGCAAATGAAGGTACGGTATATGAACCAACACGATACTCTGAAACTTCATCACGTGAGATAGATCAAATTTTCAATTATACCAAACATAAAGTAATTAATGCGGGAACACTTTTAGCGGATACGGTAGCTGATCATATGGCGGTTTTTTGTGAAATTAACATTCCTTCGCAAAAAATGATACCCTGTTTACGTACTTACAGAAATTTCGATGTAAATGTAAAAATGTAAACAAATTTTACAATGACCTTCAGTCATTAGAGGCCGTCCTTTAATCACGTGAGGTGTTTTTAGCCACTTTTTTACCCCCCCCCCCCCCTCCCCCCTGGTGATGCGTCGTGAGGTTTTAGGCTACCCCTCCCCCCCCATTCAATATCACGTGTATTTTTTTAATATTACGGAAAATATTTTCTTATTAAAAAATATTTTGTGTATTTAAAAAAATATTTTTTTTATTGGAAAAATATTATGGAAATAGTATATTACAATACAAGAGTTTATCGAGACGCGTAGAGACAGTAGTAATCATTTCGAAATTTGCGTCGTGTGACACGACTCGTGTATTGTATACTTTTTTATTTTAAGCCAGTTTTTTAATTCAAAACCATTCGTTTTTATTAATAAATTAGAATATTATGCAAACAATATACATTAGTGTAAAAAAGAAATGTTTATAGTTTTTTGGCTTATGTTATTTTGATATGACTGACTTTCTGTTAAACCAACATAACTCAACAAACTATAATCAACTATAATTTGACTCAATGATGTCAAATAGGAACTCTTTTCGTCACTATGCAATAACAAATCGGAAATTAACCAATAAATTTAAAGCTCTATAGTCCATCTATTCATTTAAGCAAAAAATACCAGCAAAACAATTTTAACCATTAACAACAATTAAAACATTTTTCATTTTTTAATAATTGTTTATTTTTGAAATCGTTTTGTTGAGCTTTTGCTTAAATTGATAGCACGATACTACATAAGAGTAGTAGTATCATGACTGATAGATTATAGTGGTATTACAGTCAATAATTGTGTATTACTGCATTTGAAGGTTTAAGCTCTAATGTTTTCAGGCAGACATAAAAGTTGCAAGTTTGTAACATAGAGGTATGTGAATGTGGGTGTTTTATTGTGAAAAAAATAAATAATTTAAATGTATACGTTTATTTTTAATGTACACATTTAAATGAAAGATTCCTCGGGCCATATGTTTGCTTGATTGTTTTCCAAAGTAACAAGTGAACAAGCATCCTGCTCGGCTGTAGGTACTTCTTTTAGCCGAAGATCAGACAGATATATATCGTCCTCATCGAGCCACTCGGCATCATCATTTTCGCGTACCACGCAGAGAATATCCTTAGAAGCGACCGAGCGTCGCGTTATGATGCGAATAGGACAAACTTTTTGCGTCTCTGTACTAATATTAAGCAGTTCTGAAGTTCGAGAGTGAAGAGAAATACTGTGAGCCTGAGCATTCTTCTTTGTACAGAAATACAACCCACACCGCTTGCATATTCTTCCTACAAGTTGCTGACGTTCATCCTTGAGGCTTGGACAATAAAGGTCATAAGGTAATTTGTCAAAACCTTCATGTGTAGGAGTAATACTAAGAGACTGGCGCAATAGAAATGGTGCAAACTGCTTGCCGTCGTGCTCTTCAGGCTTCGGAATACATGGGCCACAGGACGACTGGATAATCGGGTATGGGGGTGTTAGGAAGCGTTACGGAAGAACAAGTTGAAGAGAGCTCCGCATGTTTTTACAGCAAGCACGGTCGTTACACTTCACCACCTGATTTAGAAAATTAAATATTATATTATTATATTAGAAAATTATATATGATATTACTAAAGATATTTTAATTATTTAAGTTTGTATTTTAGATGTATTTGTACAAAGTCGTTGCATTAAAAAAAAACATGATTGAGATATAATAAACTACTACTGTACCTGAAGCAAATACTGGCTCTCTCGAACATGCTCGCTATACCACTGCGGAGAGGGCCGATCTGGAATAAGTCTTTCAGCACTGTCATTGGGCTCGATGTACTCTGCGACAACGTCATGGCCGTCGATAACCATAGAGTTCCATACTTCAGCAAGTACTTCTCCAGCCTTCTGGAAATTATTTTTTTCAAGATTAGGATCTATAGTTTTTCCTTGTGCATTTAGATGGGAGCCATAATAATCATGAGGAAGTATAAGGCCTGACAATTCCCGGCTCAAAGGTGCCATTCTTCTCTCAACGCGGTTGAACGCGCTTCTCCCAGGCGCATTAGTAAAAACAAATATTGCATCTAGGTCATGTTCGACGAAGTGGTTTACTGCATGAGAAATAACCTTCGCATATCTCGGGTTTTCGTCAGGTCCTCCATCAGATGAAATCAAGACAACTGGTTTCAGGTTTCCTTCTTCATTCCGCATAATTTCTTTAAAAGTGTCCAGAGTAGCAAGCCTGTTGAAGTCAACAGAATGCGATAAAGCTGTCGATGAAGAATGTTTGCCGCTTCTAACAGCCACGTATGTTGGCCCTGAGTACGTTATTGCTTCAGGGCGGCCCATATCATTGGCTTTAATGATGCACCCAGCGTATACACTGGGGATTAATTTATGCTTCGCGGCAATTACCCAATCATGATCAGGCAATGATACCCGATATTCGACATGCATCAATAAAGGACCTTGTTTATTTGCAGCCGTCAAGCCTATGGGTACGCGGGCTTTATCATCTTGCGACAGAAAGAACACTTGGTCTGGCCCTAGAATAGATGCCACGGTTTCTAAGGATCTTATTGTGGCGACACAAAAATGCTGATCGGGGTGAGCTTTGTGATGGTCCGCCTCAGGGCGGCTCAGTTTGACAGGTACTGTGACTACATGTCTCTTACCCTCCAAGGTGCTATAATTTTTTGGGAGCAGTCGAAGGTATGTACCATTTCTCGAAATTTTAAACCCGTGCTCCTTTAGTTTGTCATGAAGATCCGTGAGTGTTCGGCAACTGCGCACGATCTCAGAACGACGTCGTTCCTCCGCAGAAGCACCAAACATTGCCAAATCGACGATAGTCTTCAGTAACTCGGGTTGTTCCTCCTCTAAGCGTGGGCGGCCTGCGGTAGAGCGCACCTTGAAAAGATTAGCTACATTGGGGCTGTCACGGCAAGCAAGTGCAATTTTTGATTTTATTGAAAGCCTGTGTTTTTTAGAGTGACGCATGTGCTGCTCTTTCTTTCGTAGTATCTTTTTACATCTATCAATTTTATCGCGTAGTTTCTTCAATTGACGTTGCTCTTCTCCATCAGCGCTTAAAGAATCTCTACGACGGATAAGTAAGTCAAGTTCTCCTTGAAGAAGGGCAATCTGATTATTTAGCTTGTCCTGTGCAGGAGTTGCACGTACAGGCTGCACAGTAGAAGTGCTTACACTTGGGGCATTCGTTGTATCCTCGTCACCACACTCGGCGGCTTGACCTTTGCGCTTTAGAGCACCTGGAATGACCCACATTTTAAATGTTTTTGTTTTATTTATTTATTTTAAAACTACAGTTTTAAATAAGAATCAAAAATAAAATCATAAGGATATTTTCTCAGCCGTGCATTTTTACCTGAGGTGGTTTGATTGGTGTCATTTTCTTTGACTTGAATAGTTTTCGTACAATCCAGTTTGGAGGGGCACAACGTACGACTTTGTTCAATGGGTAAGACTGTCAAGTTAATGGGAACATTTTCGCTATCACTCTGAAAATAGATGATGTTAGCAGTAAAAACCACCACCTATCCAGAATGAAATCCTTATCGGAAATATAAGAATACACACGTGCATAATATAATAATAATTATTTTTTCCCAAGTAGTAGTTACAATACAAGTAATATAATAGTATAAATATAAATACCCTAATAATATAAAATATTATAAATACAAACAGCATTAATAAATATATATATATAAATATATATATATATATATATATATAATTTAAAATGAATCACATATTTTTATTTTTGTTAGAAATATATGCTCAACAACAATTCAATCATCGTATTAGTGAATCTTTTAGTTTATAATGGCAGCTTTAAAAGTAAAAAAGTAAGCAGCGTTGTACAATATACCCAAAGTTATAACTTAGTTAATGTATGATGATACCTTTTAACAACAGGCAGCTTGGTAAAAGTAAAGTAGTAAAGTCGAAGTATTGTGCATTTTACAAGATGTTTTGTGATAAAATTAGCTAAACATAATACTGGCACAATTATTTTTGTTACTATAATTTACATGCACAAGAAGACATCAGTGGATAAAACATAAAAGCTTATAAAAAATTATAGTTAAGTTTTTAAAAACAAAAAAAAGGCAAACTTATAAAAAAATATAAGTTTGACCTATAAAAACTCCGAAGTTTTTTGTCAAGTTTCTGAGATTTTATAAAAAATTTCAGAAACTTTTTATAGCAAACTTAAAATTACAGCAATGTTAATATTACATATTATGGTTGAAAATAAAAGCATTAATTGAGTACATAATAGTATATTATTTTTTTCTACTCCAATAAATAATTTTCTCAATAAATAAAAAAAATCTAGCAACTGTTTAACCTAACTTTTCGTCTGACAGATATCAAGTTTAATGTTTCTCGCAATTTAAAACCCAATGGTCCAAATTACAGTGAATAATAAAACCGGCCAATCACTGACGCCTAACAACGTGAATAATGAGTTCATTATTCTCGTTGTTAGGCGGGGTGGTTATAATGGTTATTTATACCGAAAAACCCAAATAATATGGATAGAAAATAGTTTTATACAACACCTTTATCCACGTATGTCTTCACCAACACCTTTATCCACTTATTCAATTTATACTTATATCTTTGCTTATATAATAATTCATGCATATTATGCATGTGTTAAACACCTATACCATGCATAATTAAAAAAAAAGAATTTTGAAAATCTATATGCAAACCGAAAAAAAGAAATGTCTATTACATCAGTGTTTTTAGAATAATTCTAAAGGTTTAAAAAAAAATTGGTTATAAAATTACATATCTCAAGTCATACTAATGAATATTTGTTAATAAATAATTTATTATTTATTAACATTTGTTTTTTTATTATACTTTCTCCTCGAACCACAAAACTTAATTATTTGTTAAAGATTATGACAAAATAACGCATAGAAGTAACCACGATATGGTTACCTAGCTATATTGTAGCTAATTATAATTAGGTGTTCATCAATTCCAATTGTGAAATTTCAGATGACATCAGTTTAACTTGATATTTGTTGGATATAAGCGCTTTTGTTTATAGAGATGTATTTCAGGTGCGCGATTTAGCTATTTAATAATTTATAATATAAACATTCGCTTTGAGTAACCTCTAAAACCGTCATCGATTTTTTTTTCTTCAAATTTTGAGGGAATTCCTTTTATTCGATGCTTTTTAAGATTTTGATGCAATATATATAAATTTTCAACATTATTTTTTTTAATCACCCTAAGGCATAATAATTAAAACAGCCCGCTCCCTAAAAACCCCTTTTTAAAAGGTATTAAATACCTATTTTACCTTGCGACAGCGAGGTAGGCAAAATTTATCCGATGCGGCGGCGACGAGCAAACTAAAAAACTTTAGAGATTAATTACGATTTTTAGTAATAATTATCATAATTGTTATTTTATTTGGTAATAATTTTTATTTTATTTGGTAATAACACTGGTCAGAACTTTTGACTCCAGGTGACCAATAACTTTTCTAGGGTAATATTGGTGCGGTAATTCCAAAAATAACCATCATTTACTTAATTGGCCTTTGTTTTCGAGATATTTTAAAAAAACAATTTTTTCGATATGCAAACATTCAAATTCGTTTATATATATTTTTTTAATAAATTACTTTAACCAAGGATCATTGTAAATGTAGCTATAAATCCAAATTAAAAAGAAACTATATACATATGTAAGTACAAATTCTTAAGATATTCCCCTGAAAAATCCTATTTTTAACGATTTAAAATCTATGACTTCTTAAATAAAATCTGTATAGGCTTAAATTTTGTTAAAAGTGTAGCTAATTAATACGTATTTTATTTTTATTTAAAAAAAAATCATGTTTGCCATTTTTTTACTATTTTAGATATTTTTGACATTTTAAGTAGTGACTCATGCAAGAACGTTTTTACATTTATATACACTTTGCTAAACATTGTTATTGTTTTTTGTTTTAAAACTTGTATAAATACCTACAAAGCGAAAATGTAACACGCGCGGTTGTTTTGAGTGCCATTTAGGCAATTTTTGATTGCGTTAAAATTTTAACACAATAAAGTGAATAGATAAAGCTACTAATTTTGTAAATTTCATTAAAATCGGACTAAAATTGTCCACGTAACAGTACTTTGACAATTGTCGAAATTTTGCTTAAAATGGATTTTATTTCGTTAAAAATAGGATTTTTCAAAGGAATTCCTTAAGTTATTAAGTTATTAAGTGTGTATGTGTATAATTTAACTTTTTTCAGTTTGTGATGGGCACGGGTAGAGGGTACCCTACACTCTTGTAAAGGGCTGTAACTCAGTGCGATTAAATTGACTCGATATAATTTAAATAAATGAATTTGGTTAAAAATATTGACAGTTTTAAACTAATTAGTCCTAACTATTAATAGTTAGGACTTATATATAAGTCCTAACTATAGAGACATTAACAATGACACTTGGTTAAAAAAAATTATTAAATAAATATATAAACAAATTTGAATGTTTGCATATATTAAAACATTTTTTTCACAATATCTCAAAAGCAAATTGATGATTTTGGAATCAGCAAACCCAAATTACACTAGAAAAGTTGTCGACCACCATGTGGCAAAGAAGAAATTTCATTTTGTCGACCAGTTTAATTATTTTAATTATTATGTTGTCTTATGCTATTGATTTATTAAATGTTATATATAATATAGGTAATATATAATATATATAGTTTTGACTCACCTTTCTAGAAGAAGAGTAGTAGTAGAGGATATTGGAAGATTTTGTTGCTTGGTTTTTTCGGCGGTACTCGACCAAAAGATTACTTGCCCATTTTTTAAAGTCTTCTTTAGTCGTGTGTTTCTGCTTCGTATCAGCCCACAACTCATTAAATTCTTTCTGAGCCACACTGGGTTTTTTACCCTTTTTGTACTCTACAAAGAGATCTTTATACAGATCTCCTAAGTTAGACATTGTTAAAATGTTCGTTATAATGAAAATATATTTAAGAACTAATTGAGCGTGCATTCGACGCCAAAATCAAATGTGTAAAATTATTCTAAAATAAGAGAGAGATGCAACTGCTTGGGAACGCAAAGACACATTAACGCGCAAGTGCTATAAACAGATGTTAACTGAAAGAGCGACAAAGCTTGAAGCGTTGTTGTCAGATTTTCATAAAGTTTTATCATATTTTTTTAAAATTTAATTTGTATATACTATAATTATAAAATTAAAAAATTATTTTATAAAAAACATCAATATTTTATGTGTAAAAACAATTTTGATTTCTCGCCGCGTGGGCATGGTGAACAATGTCACAAGGTACCGCGCGAAAATAATTAGGCTTAAGCCTAGGGCTAAATATTGTTGTTTAAGGTACATATATATTTAAGTAAACATATATATATAATTAATATACTTATATGTAGTTGTTTAAGTATAATATACTTACAGTAATATATACATGTTATATTTCTTTGTACCTACTCAAAAATTCATTTGGAACCCCATTTTAGTCAATAGGTATTATTTTTTTATTTATTAAAAAGACAAATTATATCTATGTTTCTTTATTTATAATTGTGTTAAAAATTATATTTTTAAGTTTTTAAATTTAAATAAAGAATGCAAATTATAAACTAACATTTTAATTTAACAAACATTAATTTTAATTAAACAATCATTTTAATTTCATTTATTTTAGTGAAATAATTAAAAATATCAAAAAACAATTTAATTTTAAGTTAGAATTTCTAACACAATAATGCATGTGCTGCAGCGAATTATTTTTATTGTTGAATTAAATTGTTAGCTGAATTAAAATGTTTGTTGAAAATTATTTTTACTAATAGTAATGGAATGAAAATGATTGTTAATTAAATTACTAACAATTAAAATGTTTGTTGATAAATTTTATGTGCTCGCAAAACTTGTGCGGCACAACAATAATATTCTATATAATATGGTATTAAATAGTATTAAATATAATTAAAAAATGGGAGTGAAAAAAATACAATTAAAAAAGGATTTTAATAAAAATGAATAAAAATTTAAATTAAAAAAATGGAAAAAAAATAATAAAAATTAAAAATAAATAAAAATTAAATTAATACACGTGATTGTCCCAATATACCCTCCCCCCCTCATGGTGATCAATCGTGATGTTATTCTAGCCCCCTCCCCCCCTGTTTGAACCTCACGTGATTAAAGGACGGCCCCTTACCTCTGGATGATTTTATTTTATTGCGTTAACATTGATCAAAAAGTATATTTGCTAACAAATTATATAAACCATATTTTCAACATGCACGCCCCAGTATGTACAAAACGAATTACAAAAACTCTTTCACCATGGTTAACTAGTAATTTAAAGCGCATTATTTCTGAAAAAAATAAAGCCTTTACTAAATATAAACAGGACAGGACAACGAAAAATTGGCTAGCTTATAAAAATATAAGAAACTTTACTTTAAACGCTATCAGAAATGAAAAACAAGCATATCTAAAACACTTAGACAAACAAAAAAACAGTTCAAAACTATGGAGCGCCTTAGAAACTATGAATGTTTGCCCCAATAAAAAAAACGATATTCCTTCTAAACTCAAAAACCCTTCGGAAATAAATAATCATTTTTTGTCTGGATTTACCGAATGTGTTTCAGAAGACACTTTACACTATTTTAATACTAACAATTTTAAGAACATTTCCCTTAAGTTCCAGTTTACTAATTTTAAAAACAGTAGAAAAAGTAATCTCCTCTATCAAGTCAGATAACATTTCTTTTGATATGATAAAATACTGCATGCCTCATATAAATATATATTTATTACACATTATAAACTGTTATTTGGAAATTTGATATTTCCCCACACAATGGAAAACTGCAGTAGTTCATCCACTTGCAAAAAAAATAACCCGACCACTTATAACGACCTTCGACCAATCAGTTTACTACCTATTTTTTCAAAAATTTTAGAAAAAATTGTACACTCTCAGCTTTACCTTTTTGTATTGATAATAAAATTTTACCTGATAAACAGTTTGGTTTTAGGCGAAATCATAGTTCAGCAGCGGCTCTACTAGAATTAAATGATAATATAACACGTGATTTGGACGCAAAACTTGTTTCGATTATTTTAATGCTAGACTTTTCTAAAGCATTTAATACCATTAGTCCATCTTTGCTAGTTTCAAAACTTAAGTACTATGGTTTGGACGATGTATCACTAAATTTTTTTTAAAGTTACCTTTTTGATAGAAATAAATTTGTTAAAATGGATAAAATTTCTTCTGATCTTGCTAACGTGCCCCTAGGAGTGCCCCAAGGCTCCATTTTAGGGCCTCTTTTATTTATAATTTATGTAGCGGATATGTTTAATAAAGTTGAGAACTCAACAATACAGGGATATGCAGACGACACACAATTATGTTTTAGTTTTTTAATTGACGATTTAGATAGGGCAACGGACAATATTAACTCGGACCTACATCTAATACCCAAACAGGGTTTTTTAACTGGCCCATTTAATGGCCTTTAATGGTGGCCAAGCTTCGACCATCGGCCATATGATAGAAACCATATATGGCGAATGAATGGGCCATGATTGGATGATAACACCGGACCAAGGTTGACAACCCATGATCGGCCTTGAATGGCAAACTATGATCGGCCACGAGTGGCAATCAATGACCGGCCACAAATGGCAACGGATAATCAGCCATATATGCCTGTAATGTTGGGTCACTCTGAGTAAATAAGTAGTTTCTTACGTTTTACTATTTTTATTGGGTTTAATCATTATCGTACAAAAGTTACTTATCGACTCTATAATATTACATTTTTGACAGTCGTTGCAACGTTTAACAAAATGTTCTATATCTTTTCGTAACCCTTGCCAAAAATAGTTTCTCTTTACATTATTAAACATTCGATTTATTCCAGCATGTCCACGCGTCGCGACGGCAACATGTGGAAATCATTTAGTATTAATTGTTTCGTCTCATAGTCGTTAATTTTTTGAACATCTTTTATAATACAGATTTTTAAACCAATATTTTTAACTTTATTAGGAGCTCCCATAATGTGTTTTATTATACACAGTAAAAAATTTGTATGTAAAAATACATTGATTATAAATGTATTTCTGTGACCATTGATGTATATGTGTTTTTACATGTTAAATGTTTTTTTACAAGTAAGTTGTAATTTTACATTGTATAGGTAAATTTAAAATATGTAAATTTACCATATTAAAAGAAGTAATAAAACAATAAACCAATAGTGGATAAACACACCAGAAAACCATCAACAAACACAAACATCACATCAGCAAATTCGGCAGCTCTCTTTTGATCGAGCGGTACACGTTGAATGAATCGCCATCTCACTTTTTCATTCCAGTACCAACCGTAGGCGGCCGATGTTGCCAAACTTATCTACATTTTTACTGTCAAATTGTTGACCGTTCTTTTGATTCTAACCTGCGTAATAAGTCGTTCTCGACGTTGACTGAAACAGGTAAGTAAAATAATAAAACAAATCAAACAACATAACTTTTACCAAAGAAAATGGTACAATATATTTTGAACATTATAATAATTATAAATTATTAATACAGTAGAAAAATCACGCATAAAAATAAAGGAACAAACAACAAAAACGAACATGTTTTGCATAAGGCATCCTTTATTTATCCTCATTAAGTTGCTCCACCTCAGAATCTTCTTCACTAAAAATAATACATAAGTTTAAGCAAGTGTCATATAATCATCTAAGCAAACGCATACAAAGCGTATCAAGCATAAAACACATATATGCAAAGCTTACCAAGCTTTAGTCACAAAGCATACATGCAAAACGTATCAAGCTTTTAGCACAAAGCATATATGCAAAGCATACCAAGCTTTAAGCACAAAACATAAATGCAAAGCATACCAAGCTTTAAGCACAAAACATACATGCAAAGCGTACCAAGCTTTAAGCACAAAACAGATACATGCAAAGCGTACCAAGCTTTAAGCACAAAACATACATGCAAAGCGTACCAAGCTTTAAACACAAAACATACATGCAAAGCGTACCAAGCTTTAAGCACAAAACAGATACATGCAAAGCGTACCAAGCTTTAAACACAAAACATACATGCAAAGCGTACCAAGCTTTAAGCACAAAACAGATACATGCAAAGCGTACCAAGCTTTAAGCAAAAAAAAAACATATATGCAAAGCGTACCAAGCTTTAAATTACCAATTCTAACACGGATTATTCTAAGAACTTATTTTTTTTCTAAAATTTCAAGAAGTTCTTCCATATTCATAAGCATTGACCAATCACTGGGCCAATTTCTTAATTGCTCCTTAGCAGCCTTAGTAACAAGAGATTTATCGACTCTTTTTATTTCATATCGACCTTCTGAAGTAATACCCACGATTTCAAACGGCCCTTGGAATTCGTACTTCAGTTTTCCTTGGTGCATGCGATCATCTCGATGCATAAGCACGAAGTCTCCTACATGGAAAACTTTAGTGTCCCGTCGTTTTTCATTTTCTTTGATTTTAGCCCGCGTCAGTACATCCAGACGGTCTTTAATTCTACTACGGTCTAACTGCAGGTTCCTTAATGGTTGCAGATCCGAACTAATATTGGTTAATAAGTTTTGGATAAGTGGAGTTGAGCTTTCAATACCAATTAAAGCTCTAAGCGGTGTTGTTCCCGTTGCTTTTAGAACAGTCGTGTTCAGAACAAGCTGAATTTTCCATAGTGCACTCGACCATTCTGACCGAATTTTAGTCTCAATCCGGAGAAGATTCATAATGGTTCTCATATACCTCTCCACTTGACCATTGGATCGGTGAATATCCGGAGTTGTATAATGATAACCTATACCCAAGGAATCCAAGTATTGTGGAAGGCTTAAATTTTTGAAATTTTTCCCAGCATCCATAGTGATTTGTTTTGGTGTGCCAAAT